TCGTATAATTTAACGATCATAGCTGCCTTTTTTCCAAGTATAATAATGCAACGCAATCATATATCTTCCAAGCACTCCATACTAAATAATAATAGCCAAGAATTGCAACAGGTTTGCGGGCAGGAATTATGGTTATTGAATCTATTTTTATCCAAACTGTAGCTAACCAAAGGAAAACATGTTGCGACTGCGGCCAAAGAGCTCGCATACCGACATGTGCAGCTGATCTAACTATAGATTTAATTGAAGAGTATAAATAGACAACATCAATTTTGTATTTGAATTTTTCTTTTTTATTTTTTTTTCAGAGTCCCGACATAAAAGTTTTTTTCAATTTGCCGGAGTCATGTGAAAATGCACCTAAGGATGCTGTGGATTTTATAAAGCCCACAGTCGAGAGTCTTCCGTTGGTAGCTTCATTGGATTGTCAAAATTTTCTACCATCTGAAGTAGCTGATTTGCCACATGAAGGCAAGGATGTTTTGAAACGTCTCTTAGAAGTTGATCCAAAACTTCGTTTGCGTTCTGTTTTGGGATTGCAGAAAATCGCTCTTTATCAACATTTCAAAATAAACGCAGAGTATTTATTAAGTGTAAGTATTCCATTCATTCAGATTTGTGATTTACAGTAATATTTAATATTATTTTACTTTAAGGTAAATCCACTTGATATTATGGAAAAGGATAACATTCCAGTATATAAAGGCAACTGTTATGAAGAGACTTCTAGTGCCATAGCAACAAAAGCATTCCAAGATTTTTAAATCTTTGAATCTCATCTCTTTTATTTTTATAGTTTCTTTTTAGCAAACAATAATAGTGAAATAAAGAAAAAAACACCCCGGGATTATATTTTATTTTCTAGAAATTAAAAGTTGAAACAGTTAAGCTATATACTTATATTATATTATATATATATTACATTATATTTGTCAGAATCTGCTATTCAACTCTGTAGACTAAAGCCTTATTGTGAATTAAGTTGGCCTAGGTCTCTGATTGAAAAATGGTTTTCTACCGAAAGAAGCCGCTACTGGCGTGAAATTCCAGTTAACCGTCAGACTAAAGAGCTGGTTCATCCTTACAATTATGGTAAGGTATCCTTCCTCAGCAGAAGGGAGTTGAGGTTGGGTGGAATACCAAGGTCACCACGGACAACGTTATCACCTTAACAAAATGGATCTGTCTGAAGAGATAGATTGTCGATTCTGCTTAGAAACAGGCAAGACTTCCAGTCACATTCCCTTTCAAGACTGAATAAATCGGGCAATCTTGTGTTCATTTTAAATAAGAAAGTTAATTAATTTGAACAGGACCGATTTCGACAATGATACATCCTTTGTAGTCGATTATTGCTTAATAGGTAGGCATACAGAGAGATTAAGAGTTCAAACCGATGAGTTTTACAACCTCTGCAAAGTGGAATAATTATCAATCTCTTATTAATTGTGCAGATATGTAGCACTGAATACCGGCATATTGTGGCAATGCTACTATTCTTGGATAATTCTTTTTTAAGGACCCCGAATAACTATCAGATAATCTTATTGGAAGCCTTGCAAAATTCATAAAAAAAATTAGTTAAAATGATACAGGTAGATGTTTATACAGGAATACACTTATCATATAAAACTCTCTAAAAATAATAAACAAAAATTACTAGCTAGACGGATTGGAATAGCAAAGAAAAGACAAGAACAAAATTTTATTTAATTTATTGAAACTTGGCTGACCATACAACGTTGTTTTGAGTATTGCCAAGTATTCATCAGCAGTGGTCTTAGAAAATATTCGAATTTCGTAATAAGTTCGTATATAATTTCTTTGGATAGCAAGTGCCAGGCTTAGAACTGGTGCCTGTCAAAAAGACTGTACAAACTTTCAATGCTCAAGTTCCAGGTTATTTGTCACTTTTTATTTAATTAATGACACTAGCTTTAGTGACTAAAATAAGAGCATTATGGCGGTTTACTTGAAGTCTGTCACATACACGCCGCCAAACTTAAACTCACAATTAAGAGCACAATATAAAAATTATCTACATTTATTAAAATAATTAAATAGTATATTTATACATCCCTTTGCAATTAAATTGCAGTACTGTCACTTCACTCATGCATGCAATAGTGCTCAACATATGTTGATAAAAATACACCACAACAAATTGGTATAAATATACATAACTACATAGAATTTTTGAAGAGTTTGTTAATCTTTGATAAATAAAAAACTATTTAAACCATTAGTCATCACTCGTATTATGTTATTTTTATGGCCGTGTGCGAGTTGGAGTAAATTGATAGTAAATTGGGGGAAATAATAAATTATGTCGATATGGCAGCGAATGTTGGTATTAACCAGAATTTCAAATCGGATAAATTAGATAAAACTTAGGTTAATTAGGTGTTACCATTGTGAAAAGATGTTTATATGTTATAAGATGTTTATAAATAAATAAATAAATTTGAAAACTTTTAACTAAAAATAATAAATAATTGCAATAAATAAATAAATATTTACAAAAGTGCAGTGCAAAAAATCGCTAGGAAACTTCAATTTACTTTATCTCAATTTACTCGACCTCGCACATTGCTTTAGTTGAAATTTTATTCGAGTTTTTCCAGAGTTTCTGAAGCATTACTATTAAGACCGACAGTTTCTTATCAGCTTGCATGATTTTTCAATGTAAATAACTTCAATTAAAATACATTGCATACTTTTTGGCGCACATTGCAAACAAATTTATTTATCGGTAAATTGTCATCTTCTTTACAAACATGGGCAAAAACAGTTCCTTTAAATTAAAAAACTTAAAGGAAAAATATACTTTTTTTGATCAGTATATTAAAATAATTAAATTTTATAAAGTTTTAACTTTATTTTAATCAAGTAAATTTCTTTCTATATGCTTAAAAAATGCAAATAATTGCAAAATAACTTAACCAGTTGCTATCAAATCAGCTGACCGTTTTCATATGTTCACTGTTTTCGCGCCAAAAGTTAATTTATTATTTCTATTATTATTCCTCCTTTCGCCGTTGTTGCTTTAACAGCTGAGCAGCAGCAGTTGAGTTCCGCGTACTCGCATTGCTTATGTCTGACATTTGCCTCTTCTCTCAATTCTCTCCATCCTTGACGATACTTTCCTTCCTTTTTGTTGCAGTGAAAAATTTTACTTTTAGTCATGAAATTTGTGGCTGAGCCTTTGAAAATTAAAATGCCATAGGTGAAAGTAAATAAAAGCATTAAATTATTTATTAAATATAAAGAAAACGAGGTGCTTTCATAAATAAATTAAAAATAGTGAACGAATTTAATGAATATTGCAACCGAATTGGCATTAAATAAAAGGACAATGGAGCAGTTGAAAATTTAATATTTCACACACACATATACACAAACAAACACATATTCACACACACACGCGAACGGGGGGAAAATTGAAAGCAATATTTTGTAGAAAAAATGCATAGTTAAATATGCAAATATTTTATTTATTTAAACAAAATAAGTGTGTGCAATGCATAATAGGGAATTTTCACGCGGCAGTAGAGCAAAAATCTGTAGGATTCATCAAATTTTAAGCACCCAAAACCCACCACCAGCCAAAGCGTTTTTTTCATGTAGTTAGAGCAGCAGCCCCACCCGCTGACAAACCGCGCTACCCACGTTGGCGTGCTGGAAAAATGGCAGTGGAGCACAACTTCATAGGCACTTGGGAGGTAAGTAATATTTTATTTATAAATATTTCATTCAATCTTTTATTAAAAAATTGTTATCTTCTCTTCTTCTTACTCAAGATTGTGTCCTGCACTTTTGAGGGCAAAACAGAAATTTCTGGATTAGAGGGGTAAGTGTTAAGTGTAAGATTTTACTTTAAGAAAATATTAAATTCCTCTTTTTTTTTTTTGATATGTTATAGTATAAAATTTCGTTTGGATGATACGAGCGATATAACTTGGTACAATGACTTGGTTAGTCCCCTTCCTGAATCAAAAGACTGTGGCACCTGCTGCGATTCAGCTAGTGTCTTATTTAGTTGTGAGACATACGATGTTAACGATACCAATCCACGTTTAGTATTCGGAGCATTTGCTGGACATAGCATAGAATTTAGAGTAAGCGCTTGAAGTAATGCCCTTTGAGCTTAAAAT